TCTTTCAGTTAATCATTAGAGAGATTTCTATCTACCTTCCATCAGCATTCATGATAATTGTTCAGATTAGCTCTTCGTTTAGTTAGGCATCATGATATTGTTCTTCTTGAGTTGTACATAGGCCATCCACGCCCGCATTTCAATGATAATGTTATTAAGCTTCTCAGACAATATGAAAGGAACTTACTTAAAATAAATAGACAAAACTTTTCTATATTATTTAATGAAACATGCATTAACACACACACACACACACACACATATATATATATATATATATATGTTTTCAACAGGAAATTTAAAAATAAAAACTCACTCAATTTTCAAGCTATCTAATATAAATTTCACTCGGTTGTAGCCATTATTTAACAGTCATTTAACCTGAGAATTAAGTCCACCCATATAGTGAAAATCCGCGTATATTGCGAAAAATGGCGATTTTTACTGGTTTCTCTTATATATTAGGTTGATCTTTCAACCAATTTTCATCAACAATTTTCTTTATAAATGTATCCTCTTGTGCATCCCTGACAAACTGAATTTCAAAAACACCAAAATAATTGTGGTCCGAAGTGGGTCCTCATGTTGCCTGCTTTACCCGTTCCTGTCCTCGAATAACTTCGATTGAATAAATACAGACAACTTCTGTTATATCAGTAACTGCATTAACTCAAAATGATTTTAACGAAAGTACTTTAAAGTATTTGGAGAAGATAGACTCTGTTAATCTAAAGATGATGCTGTTTTTGCTCCATTCTAAGTGAACGCATTTTCTGATCTAGCTATGGCTGCTAGTAACAAATATTTACATCGAATTTTAATTGTATTTTGTAATACACGATTTGTTCTATATTTTTTATTGTTTTTTTTTTGTAAAAAAGATAAGATTTTATATTATAAACATCTTATTAGAATATTTTTTTATATCAGCAGCATCTTATACAAGTAAATCATGTTTTTTTACGGTACTCGATTTTCAGCGGAAGCTCCTATTTATGCCGAGAAAAGAACAACAATTTATGTAGCATTTTCATTTAATTATCCAGTACCTTTTTAATGTAATTTAATGTCTTTTTTTTCACAGTAGTCGATTTTCTGTGGATTATTTTATTCATATTTGTATTACGACAAATATTTACATAGCATTATTCAAGATTAATTTTATATAATTTACATTCTATTTTCCGGCACGACGTGGCTTTTAAGGGGAACTTTTATTCATAACTAGATTCTAAAATATCTTACCATAGTGCTTCCATCTTATTATTTAATGTTCGTTTTATATAATTTAATATTCATTCTTTCACGTTAGTCGATTTTTGAACCGACAATTTTATTCATAACTAGAATATAACAAATATTTGTGTATAAGTTTCATTGTAATATTTTTATATATCATTTATTTTATATGATTTGTCTTCTATTGTATTTTTTTTCTGCAGTAGTCTAATTTCCGTGGAAGATATTATTCAGAACTAAGGAAATATTTTCATAGCGTTTTCTTATTAATATTTAAAATTTATTTTATATGATTTACTTTCTGTTTATCTACAGTGTTCGTTTTTGTTTTCTTTTTTAGGAATATTTTATTCAGAACTAGACTCTGACAAACATTCATGTCGCATTTTTCATTTTTATTATTTAATGTTTGTTTTATATAATTTAGTCATAATTCTTCGATTAGTAGCCAATTTTTACACGGATTATTTTATTTACAAATATTTAAGTATAAGTTTCATTTTAATATTTTTATATAACTTTTATTTTATATAATTTCGTTTCTATTATATTTTTCCACAGTTGTCGAAATTACGCGTAACATCTTCCTATCTGAAGTATGGCAAATATTTACGTTGCATTTTATATTAATGTTTAAAATGTATTTTATATCATTTTATTACTATTTCCACAGTTCTCAATTTTTAAAGGAATAATTTAGTCATAACGGTAGTATAAAGATATATAGGTAGCGTTTCCATTTTAATATAAAAAATATTGTATACAACATAATATTTTATATCATTTAATCTTTATTTTTCCACAGTAGTCGACATTCCATGGATCATTTTATTCATAAGTATAAGAAATATTTAAGTAGAATTTGCATTTTAATATTTCATATAACATATTTTATATAATTTTTATGTTATTTTAACTTTTTATTGCTGTATTTTTTTCGTTAAATTTTTTTTCATATTTTCGTTAATTAATGATGATTAATTAAATAAAAACATTGTAATTTATTGAAACAAAGCAGCTTCAGGTGACCATTGATGACAATTCCAGAAACTATAAACAATCCTCTGCCAGCCGCAATGATAGAGAAAGCATTACCCGAACCATCGCCACTTAGACACGCTGCAAGAAGAGCCATTCCGTTCCACGAGGTTCGTCCCTTAATCGAGATGCAATCGCGCCAATTCTTCGAAGGAACGCCATCGAACTGAAGTCTCCACTGCCACAGGAGTAAAAAAAAATCTATCAGCAAGAGAAGAATATTTAACTATTTTTTCATCTCTGCGTCGGATCCCGGCTCAACCGCGGACCTGATGAAATTACCGGCCGAAAATGTATCCGCACAGGTCGCATCCCAAATCAACGACTTCCCCATTTTAAAAGGGAAAATGGTGATGCCCTGCGGCCGCTTTCCATCACCACGGTCGATTTAGGAAGGGAACCCAGCTACATCCAAACCTCTTTTGATGATGCCGTTTATTGCTGCATCTCTTGTAAAGCGGCCGGCACTAGGACGACAGGAGAGAGGATGCAACCCAAACTCATCGATGGAAGCTCCACATCTGCATCTGTGACGCTCACATAATTTGAGTCCAAGACGGATCGCGAATCCGACCCGATTGCACTCATTATCTACAAGGGCCCCGGTAGGTGAAGAGGGCACTGCGTTGAGCCAGGCGCCACTACTCGGTTGTGAAGCAGACAGTAGACAGGCGAGGCGGTGCTGATCCAGAGAGAGAGCCTCAAATTAGTAAAATTGACCTCGCATTTTATTTTGTCCCAGCTTTTTTGTTTTGATGTGTCTAGTGGGATAGAAAGTAATTCTTGGGCCCAGACGCTTCAAGTTTGTTCGAAAGAACTACCCGAGAAACACTGAGACGATCCACTGTGTATCTCATCAATTAATTCGTGACTGGATGAAGGTGAAGAAAGATATGCTGGAAGGGCCAACGAAGGCCCATGCCTCCGAAACTCAAAGGGAGCATTGCCTGCCTCCAGCCTGTGTCGTCGAAATTGACGTTGCAAATTAGCTCCGCGCATCTCTTGACTGTAATATCTATCTCATTTAAGAAATCCTGTTCGACGTAGCAAGGGGCACTTCGGAGAGTGTAGAGGAAACTCGGTAGCGAAAAACAGTTCTTCAAGAGGAAGAGGGCTGTGTGTGCATCAATTAATTGCAATTTCTCAGCCATTTTTTTAGAATGACATGCTTAGTATCCAAACACTCACGAATGGCCATTGGAAAGACTAGAGAACCAAGAATGTGTAGTTCCTCTTTAGGTGTTATTTTTATATCCTCAAGGATGAGTCTGATATCCTGGATAGCACTCACGAAATCATCTGTAATATAATTCAAGATTATTACCTCTGACTTGGACGAGCTTATCTCAAGTCGAAGCAGAGAGAAAGCAGGAATAACTCGTCGGAGGTCAGCAGATACGGCCTTGATGGATCCTCCCAATGTTGCATCAAGATACCACATATTGCAAGGTCAAGCGATGGAACCAGCTACCCCGTCAATAGCCATTGCAAATAGTAGCGGGCCAAGTGGGTTACCTTGCTGGATTCATATATATATATATATATATATATATAAATTATATATATATATTCATGTAGCCTTTTTTGCTTTTTATTATTTAATACAGTTTATGTATATATATATATATATATATATATATATATATATATATATATATATATATATATATATATATATTTATATTTAAAGAAAGAACAGTCAGATATATAATCCGGTGTTCTTACAGATATTTTTATTTTTACAAAATAGTGCTCAATGTAAATTTACAGAGCATTAATATTATAAATTAATTGATTTAAAATATGGTTATTTTCGCTACACAGTTCTAACCATTAAATTTGTCACCTAATAATTTACATACTTATACTTGATGTGAAAATAATTCCACACACTGTAAGGGATTCTAATACATTTAATTGTTCTTCAAAGAAATATAGTATATTAAGAATTAAAAGTGAAAATATTTCAAATCGTAGTTAAATAAAACGTTTTCTAACCTAAAGACCTCCCACTTAGTACGACGCGCACTTAAAAGAACCGAATAAAACACCTACAAAATTAAATTCGGGGCTTTTAGCTTCCATTTTTGAAACATGGTTAGAACTATGTAGCGAAAATAACCATATTTTAAATCAATTAATTTATAATATATATATATATATATATATATATATATATATATATATATATATATATATTAAGCATTTCCTCCCAAGCAAGGTGGAAGTGCCACTAGCACGTAAGTGTTACAGGGAGTGAAATTAACACTAAGGAGGAGCGCTTGAGCAAAGGATATAGAGAAGGACGGCGAACAGGTCTATGGCATCATAAGATGTCGATTGACATTACATTTGAATATTTTTAGATTATAGCTATCAGAGAAGCAAGTAGAAGAAGGGAGTTCTACTCTCGGGAAGTGCGAGAGAAGAAGCTGTTGGAGTAGAAGAGGCGGGTACATTTAACCTATTCGACAGCGAAAGGGTGGGACAGGAGATGCCATCCTAGCAGCACGCCTAGAATTTAGGCAGTTGGGGTACCCGTGAAAGTACCTTGTCAGAACAATTTCTATGAAATTATTTGTAGAGAAGTCAAACGGAATGCACATCACGTCTGTGAGAAATTGACTGTAGACGAGATGCCAGATCAGCTCCTATCACGTTGCATATCCGTCTTTGGATTTAGTCGAGGACCTCGAGATGAACAGCGGGGGAACCAGGTTATATATGGCAACAGTATTTAATGCAAGGAGGAATTATTTTTAAGTGCTAAAAGGGACAGGTAGATGTGGAGGCCCATAATCACTTATGTCCTGAAGGGAAACGGTACATAAAAGAAGAAGAATAAATATTTCCTATTCTCTACTTATGAATAAAATCACTCACGGAAAATCGCCTACTTTGGAAAAAAAAACTCTAAAATAGAGTAGGAAATATTTATTCTTCTTCTTTTATGTACCGTATCCCTTCCGGACTTATGTGATTATAGACCTCCACATCTTCCTGTCCCTTTTAGCACTTACAAATGTTTGACTTTTTGTTATTTCTCCCAAACCCTCTTCTGCCATCCATTTGTTCATGCTCATCAAGTATTTTACACTCTGCTTTACTCTGTCCGTCTTTCCCTAAATATGTCCTGTGAGTATCAGGTTTTCCAAGCCGTCCTTCCTCATTACGGCCCCCTTCAATTTCAACTGCTTCTTCCTGATGTTAAGTATAAGCTTCCTTTTTTTTGGAGTTCAGACTCTCGAAAATCTCGTTTTCGCTCACATGTTCGATCCATGGTGTCCTTAGCATTTTTCACTAGAACCACGTTTCTGTGGCTTCGAGTAAATTCCTCATTTTTAAAGAAATATTCCTGCATTTGCTGCTTTACACCAGGACAGATATGACGTAACGGTTTAGTATCATTTTCATTTTGCAAACTTCATCTGCTGGCTATGAAGGAGATGTGAAATCTTGCATGTATTAATTTCATTTTTTTTTTTTTTATTAATAACGAAATTAATTATTTCCAGGAAACACAATTCAAAAGTCAACAGCAATGACTTCTCTTGAAAATGTAGAAAATTTAGTATATTGATACAGGGTTCGATGATTAAATTCATGGGTAAGTTTATATTTTTAATTTCGCTCAGTATAGTAGGGTCAGTTGGGCACCGTCTGTCAGAAATACAGCCCCGTGGCGTAATCCACTTCACCCAGAAATTTCGAAACGGAATGCTGGACTGCTTAGCATTTACGCCGGAAAAGCTCCAATACGAACATTTCAGTGTGCTTGGGTGTCAATCTGAGGATAGTGCAGAGGATTAAAAAAGAGTTGGATGAATCTAATGGTGATTACGAATGTGTTTGATGTGATCACTACTGATGGCGAAATTATGCCTCCATTCCTGTTCCCACAGGGTCTCAGACTCAATACAGAGGGTTACATCAATTGCCTTGAGTAGGTACTGCTAATCTTCGTTAAGAGGTTGGCTGCTAGAACAGCCTATGTCTGGCAACAGGGCACTGTACCTGCCACACAAGCAAACTGTCATAGCTGTCAGAAACTTTCTGCATCCACTTAACTCCCTAGACTAAAACAGCCTTGATTATTACGTGTGAAGAGCAGTTCAGCGAGGAACAAAGGATCTTGTAACACCAAAGATGATCTAAAGACAATGATTATAGCAGTATTCACCAATTTTAAACATGGAGACTGTCCAGAAAAAGTTTCAGGAGATTCCGCAGTCGTCTGGTGGCCGTGGTTGAAGCCAATGGCGATTTTATTGAATAACCTTACTCTTTAGTATTTCAAGATATTTTTGTGTCATTTTGGTAAATGTGTTTGTTAAAATGAGATGCCAGTGTCATTTTCAGTTTTACTTCATTTGGACGACAATTTATCCATCGCAGCGTGGAGATAGATTTATATACGAGAGGAGTCTGAATGTTTCAGAGACTGTCTATAAAAGAGTGATGCTCAAACTTGGCACTCTTGCATGCATTAATCCCAAATGCTCTTATTAATAATCGCATTGCTTCTTTCCAACTAAACTGACCTGGAATGAAACATTGCAGCTATTACTAAGAATAGATGAAATTAATGTATGCCATATTTTACAGCTCTGGCTTCATTCCTTCTTCGTCAGATTACGAAATTTTCAGTCCGCCCTCGTACATTTTAATATAGCGTTTCTTTTATATAATGCAGTTTCTATTAGGTTGGTGCAAAAATAATGACTTAATAATGTCGTTTTTTGACGTTAAAAAATACGTAAAAAAAACGACATCATTACGTCATTATTTTAGCACCAACCTAATATTTTCCACAGTACTCGATTTTCAATGGAAGATTTTATACATTACAAGATTATAACAATATTTACGAAGTATTTTCTTTTATTATTTGGTATATATATTTTTTTTTTATTATTATTTAATATGTTTTATATAATTTACTGCCTATTTTTCCATATTAATCGATTTTTCCAGGGCAGATTTTATTCGTTTGTACAGCAAACATTTCTATAATATTCCATTATGTTCTAGAAGTATTTTTCTTTTTTTCTTCTTTACAGCGTGCCCGAGTTTCTGGTAATTCAAATCTGCAGTCTAAACCGTGTTTACATAGTATTATATTTATATCATCATTCACAAGATTTTTTTTTTTTTTAAATGTTTAGACGCTGGCGGGTCGCCGGCAGCAACGCCAACAGTCCTATGGTGTCAGCCACCCGCGTACCACCGGTGGGCCTCTAGCGGTGCGCCAGTGGCAACACTACTGATACGAACACACCGGCGTTCCGACTACGGGTCACCAGCATTTACCACTTGTAGCATCGTACCCAGTGGCAGATCAGTGGCTTGCATGTTGGGTATTTTCGTGGAAATTCGAAACCGCTCTCTTCTAAACTTTATTTGTCATCGATCAACATGGCTGATGATAACCCTAAGGAGAGGTGTCCATTGCGCCTTCCGGCTTAAAGAGTTCCGCTGACAGGAAATGGAATGATTGTCGCGCTAGACAATTTATCTTGTCAGAATCTATTTTACACATTTTATAAGCCTACCATTTGCCAGTTCTTTTGGATCTTGCCTGGTGCTTCTAATATGTATTTTTAGAGACATATCTGAAAAATTATCGGTCCTGATATGCTTCCTCTGCTTCAATCTCTCTCTCACAGCTGTAAAGTAACCTCAATGTTTTTTTTGTTTGTTTGTTTTTTTTTTTTGCGGGGGTGAGCTCTGAGTTCAGTACCAGGCCACAAAACAAAAAATTGATGAGTTGAGTTAAATGGAAATAACTAAGACATCCGGAAGAGACATGTCACGTGGAACTAGAACAATCTACCCCGGTGGACGAAATAGAGGTTTCGGTTCGACATTCCAATCACCTGAAGAAGGCCAGAGCGTAAAACGATCGAAACGTTGTAAATATGGCAATGAAGATGAGGATAACTGCTGTGGCCTGTTTATGGGCCAGAAAGAAAGACAAGGAAGACAACGGTAGATTGAAAAAAGTATATTAAAGATATATCCAAAACAATAGTGTTAGTAATAAGTAGATTAGCACTGCGTCTAATCCTCCACTTCCCTTCCCCACTCTTCCACCCGACTCTTGCAGTTTATATTTATGAGAGGAGGAAGAGTTCATTATACTGTAAGTCAGCTTACCACAACAATAACAGTCTGAATAATGTAAATAATGCAAGCAATGTTATCATATGATGATTACGTTTTCACATGTTTTGGACACATTCATAAGCCATACGTTTAAATTTACAATATCATTTCTTCTACGTTTACATGTAAAGATTCTGTGCAAGGACGCGGAATAAAGCACTTTATAAAATTCACTAGTAATATTCTCTAATGGTGAATATGTTAAATTATTCAACTTTTTAACAAGAAAAATCTCAAGATGATGTTAAAAATTGCCTCAAGTTATTGTACACTGGA